GTAAGACCTCGTTAGTCCTTAGCTCGCACAAGTTTCTCAACATCTGAGAGTTGTCGTTCGTATGGGGGCGGCAGCTGATTAACGGAAAAACAGATTTTAAACAGATCATCATTATGATTTCCGGAAGCAAAGATCAGGGGACCTTTTTTCACATTCCTCAAACAAATTTTGTTTGACAATGTTCAGTTGACTAATCCAAGTTAAATTCTTTATTTATTAGGTGGTGAACTTGTGGATGCTTACAATCAAGGAGGACAGGCGGAAGTAGAAAAACTGATCCGTGACCAGTTTGGCCAACTTATGTACCAAGAAGGAAAGGGCCAAATAATAAACAGATCTGAATATCTCCGATGGAAATTTCGGGACCACGAACAAGTCGTTCTTCCCATAGAAGCATCACTCAGTCGGTAAATATTGCTTAATGTAGTTTGATACGTATCCCAAGTTTTCTAGGTTCAGTTAGGTTGAACTAGAGACTTTTAAGGGGGTGAACTCAATCTGCAATCTAACTCCCAATCCAATTGAACTGAATCTATGAAAATGAACCTATAAAGCCTAAGCTAAGGAGATGTAAGATAAACATTAGTGTCTACAATGAAGTTTTGCGGTTTATCTCTATGACTTCATGGATATGTTGCAAACCGATATAGCTATTTATGATATGAGTGTTAAAAGTAAGGTTTCATTTTGTGAGTGAAGAAGAAGAAGAACAAAATAAAACTTACTTTTAACACAAATATCATACAAAGTTTTTTGTACAACTGTCCTGTTTTCATGATAAAACAGATAAATTTAATTTTTCTATAAAAACACATTTTGACATCTCTTGAAAGTTGACTATTTTCATGTTATCGCATTTGCTGTGAAGTGACCGTTACAAAAAAACAGTATCGTTTACAGCTCGCGCGTTTTATTTAAAGTAACAGTTAAAGTTCTTGCTGATGTTTAATGTCTTGCATAATGAAGAACAATAGTGAGGAATTATGTGTTCCTGACGATATTGAAGAGGCTGCAAAAAGAGCTTCAATTGAATTGTTACTAAAAGAATCGGCTCAGCAGTACGACATCACATATTCTAATTTTCTTAGCTGGTGTAGACTCAAAAACGTCGAAGGAAATTTCAGCGAAACCGTCATTTCAGCCTATCTAGAAGAGAAATATGGAACTTGTCAACTTTGTGGAACAAGTTTTCAATGATGAAGTCGAGTGCGCTGGTTAAAAGTTAATAAGCAAATATTTCACGGTATTCTTAAAGCGGAAAAATGAAAGTTTGGAAATCACACGTTAAAAGGTAAGACCTTGTTAATCCTTAGCTCGCACAAGTTTCTCAACTTCTGAGAGTTCTCGTTAGTGTGGAGGCGACAGCTGATTAACGGATAAACAGATTTTAAACAGAATCAAAAACACTTACGTTTGAACAAGTCCAGAGGTTTATAAATGAGGCGCCAGACGAAAAATTTTTGATGATAAAAGTTGCTACTATTTTCGGAATAAATGGAGCCTGCTGGCGTGGAGAGCTGTGTCATT